GTCTGGATTATCACTGGGTCTGTAACAGGGAGAGGTAAGCTTAGCTGGGAAGATACATCTAAACTTGTCGCCTTCCGTTGCAGTTACCTGCCTGAAGTGATGGGGGACGGCTTAGCTAATCAGATTAACAACCCGGAGGTGGAGGTGGACATCACCAAGCCAGATATGACCATTCGCCAGCAAATCATGCAGCTAAAGATCATGACAAACCGGCTGGGCAATGCTAACATCGGGAACGATGTGGATTTCCAAGATGCAAGTGAGTTTAGCATAACCGGAGAGGTCCACGGCAGGGGCGAGGGGCTGAGCAGTCAGTCCTGGCAGCCTGCATGGGCCTCTGCGCAGACCCTGCAGCGGGGCCCTGACAGCAGAGAGGGGTTGTGGCAACCTGGCTTTTGGCTCACGGCTGCAGGGGGTCTGTTCGAGTGCAACCGACTTGCTGCGGGGTGGCTGGAGGCTCTGCTGCTCTCAGCGCATCACTGAAACCTCGGGTGCTCTCCCCAGTCTCAGCCCAGCCCTGCTGACGGGGCCACTGCTCCCGTCTGCTCCAGAGGTTTCCAGCTGCTGCAGCAGGTGGGTAAAGTCAGCTGGAGATCAGGTGTGAGCTTACATCCCATAGTGGGGGATGCAGAGAGGAGGAGGTGGCTGGGGCAGGGCTGGTGGCCAGAGCTCCCCGGGGTTGCAGCAAGGGGGAAGCGGGGATATCGCCCATCATAAGGAAGGCAGTCGGGGCTCACCCCGTGTTTGTCTCTGCGCAGGTGATGACATGAGCGGCTCCGGGAGTGGTGACAGCTGTCCTGATGACGTCTGTGGCAAAAGACTTTCTAAGAGCCCCAGCACCAGGCAGCCAGAAACGCACGCTATTCCTAAGCAGTCTGGACACGGCATCAATGGGGCCAGCAGCAGATCTTTGCCTTCTGCCTTCCTCCTCCTCCTTTCGGTGGCTTTCATTGCCGCGCAGCACTTGTGGCGGTAACTCACTAGCACAGACAGGAAAGAGACTGCGGCCGAGGGCTTCACTTTGCCAAAACCAACCAACCAACCAACCAACCAACAGATAAAAGGACATATTTAATTCACCTTGGCAAAAAAAAAAAAAAAAAAAGAGGGAGGAGAAAAAGGTTTCAGTTGTTTACTATTTCTGGCAGTGCTCGAGCTGTTTTCTTCTTTCTTGGTCTCTTCCCCAATGCTGGGCCCTTCTTTCCGTACCTCATTGTTTTACTTTTGTTGTGCCACAAACTGGCTCTCGGGGCTGAAAGAAGCCTTTGCAGAGAGGCCTCCGGGGGGAACCCGGCCGGCCCCTCTGAGGGCAGCTCTTCTGCTGCCTCCAGTGGAATATGCAATTGCCCTGATGTGGTTGCCCAGCCGCTGGCCCGAGCGCTGCTTACCACACCGCTGCCGAAAGCACGACGGTGCCGAGAGCAACGCCGCTTCGTAACGCGGAGGGACTGAGATCGTCAGCGCTGCTCAGGTGCTGCATTCAGGGGCTCTTTTGGGTTTTTCCTCTGTACTTCCTAGGCAGGCAGAGATGGCCCTTCACTTCCAGCGTCATACGTAGGAGCGTGAGCAGGTTTGGTGGGTTGAACTGAAACAGTTTGGCCAGTGGCTGTGGGACCCAAAAACGCAGAACTCCCTTTTTCTTTGGAAAGGTCACAAGTGGGTTTCTTGACTAGAGCTCGTAGCTGACGACAATTTGAAATGTAGGTCTCCTACATCTAAGTGACTGGGAATGAGTGTTAGGGGTTGGGGTTTGGGGTATTTTTTCTTTGCATGCTAGTTGGAAAGCCATTTTTTACCCAAGTAATAATGGTTCAATTTCTACCTGCAGTGCAGTACCGTCGTAGGTAACAGAGAGATGAAAATATGCACAGTGGGATTCTCCGCTTGACAGACAGTTGTGCTGCCTCCTCCTCCTCCGGCCCCAGCCGTGGATGGGAATCTCTTTTTTTTTTGGTAATAAGAAAGACCAGGGACTTTTTACCAACTGGAGCATTGTGACTGGTTGTGAGAGCTCACACCGGGCACAAGCGGGAGTGACCCCCCAGGCAGCTGCCTTGGGGCAGAGAGGGGCTGGTAGCGGTCAGCCCTGGGCAGTGTAGCACCTACTGGGGAGGACGTGGGGACGGGACACATTTTGTTTGGGATATTTTTTTCTTTTGGTGTTTGTTCCTGTTGCATTGTAGGTTTTTAAGTGAATCCCTGCTTTCCCTATCCCTTCCCCATCCTCCCACGCACCTTCCCTAACCGCTGCAGGGCAGGGATGAGGCAGCAGGTCAGACACCCGCCTGCAGGCGGAAGGGCCAGGCTCACCCTCTGCCGCCCCCTCCCACCACACACCAGCCTCTGGGTCACGCGGGCGGCTGCCCTAACCCCAAAATGCTTGGTGGGGTGGACTCCGTGCCGGGCTTTGAGACTGGGGGTGGTCAGTGAGAGATATAAATATCCTCACGTAGCCGTAGGAGTGTCTGTGCTTGTAGGGCTGTGTGCTTCGGGGCTTCCGGAAGGCTTCTGTACCTCACAGGCACGGCAAGCATCGGCTGGAGATGTAGGTTTAGCAGATGTTATAGATACAACACAGTCACTGTGACCAGTTGGGCCAAGAGCACACCCAGGGGTTGGGCTTCATTCGTACGGGGTTGGATTTGAGTTTCAAATGTGTTTGTACTGCGGGCAAGAGGGAGGGCAGAGGTGTATCTATCTCCTACTTTGCTGGTCTGCACAGCACATGTTTGAGCATTTCTCCTCTGTCCTGCCAGAGGAGACGTGTCTTCGGGCTGAGCAAATGTTACGGGGTTGGGGTTTGGCTGTTTTCTAAGAAAGGGAAAAAAAAACATTTTTAACATTAGCAGTTTCTAGAATGTGCAATTTAAGGGAAAACGGAGAACATGAGCGAGGTAATGCCAAAAGCTGGCGCAGGCGGGTGCGGAGGGAGCAGGGGTCCCACCAGGCACTGGGCGGCAGCAGTGGCTCCTGCCCACCTCGTCCTGGGGCCAGGTAACGACGCTCATAGCTCGTCAAACTAGGCAGAGATTTTAGGCCAGCCTTGGCTGGCTACTCCAAGTCCCAGTGACTGATGTTACTGACTTGGTATCCTTCCTGCCTTGTACTCGCCACCTTCTGATCTGATCTGGTAGGGTTTCAGAAATGAAAGCCAGGATGCTGGACATTGGCTAAAGGACAGACAACACCACTAGACCCATCAAAACCCAGGAGTGGATAAATACAAGTCATGGATTTATATAGGTTTATTTACTTCTAGAAGTATGGCAAGTTCCACATTTTACTTTTACTGCTCTAAACAGTTCCTGTCTTTTTTTTTTTCTTTTTTTTTTACCAGAATTGCCAATACAAATTTAGCCTTCAGTTACAGAAGTCCCCACAACCAATCCTGCAGAAACTTTACATCCAAAGCAAAAAAAAAAAGAAGGGGGAGAGGGGCATTAAAACATTGTACCCTCTTCAAAAAGCGGTTGGGTTCAATTGCAGTTTTAACACATGACTGCCGAGGTCAATGTTTTGCGTTGCAGAGTGGGAGATTGAAAGGAAAGTCCTTGTCGTTTCCATTTCTGTGCAGTTCGCGTTTGCTGTCAGCCTGTTACCCTCAAAAGTGTCTTATGGGCCCCAGGGGGAACACACCTTAAATGGGAGGCCAAGGATTTACTGATTGTCCAGTTAATATTTTAACTATTTAATAGCCCAAAGTATCGATCCTTTTATGACAATAAAACCCAATAGTCCAAATTAATTAACAGTAAAAACCGTTACGCAGGAGAAACCCTTCCTGATGCCTTCCCCCTTTGGCTGGGGTTGAGCTCCCACTCCAGTGTCCCTCTGGTCCCCGGGGGCCCTGCTCCGCTCCTCCTTTTTTTTTGGGCCCGGAGCCGCCTCGGCAGCCCGAGGTCTGCGTGGACGGGCGAGGGCACTGCCGGGGGCTCTTCCCCCTCCCTGCCAGGAGGCGCGTGATGTTGGTGTTGACGCTTCCTCCCTCCTCGGCCCTGGGGCTGCTGGGTTTATTTTGTATACCTTTTCACGTGGTCGGCCTACGCTGCTGCTTTTTGTCGCTGCCCGGTTATTCAGTTTTTCTGTGCTCTTTGTTGCCCCAAAGCGGTTTCCCCGACCTGCTGCAATTGGGTGGCCCAGGGCTGCACTCAGCCACGCCACCTTCCGCTGGGGAGCCGAAACAGCCGAGTCCGCCCCGGGGCATCGACTCGGTGTCGCTCTAGACTAAAGCAAACCTAAAGCAAACCATAGTTACCCGATGGCTAGACAACCGCAGGCACGGCTCAACAAGCTGA